TGGGCATGGAGGACTCCTTGTAGGGATTTGTGAAAGGCTCCCTCATGAAGCCACAGCAGATGTTGACTGTCCCTCCTTCCCAGTCTCTTATTATTTTATTTGCATGCTGTGTTTGCTGCTTGCTTTCAACACAATTCCCCAAGGATGGAATCCTAGATGTGAAATGACCCGCTCGGTTCTCTGCTTCCTGTAACGGCTGTCACGTTGACCTCCCCAGAATTCCCAGCGCTCTGTGCTTTGCTCTAACAATACGGATGTGTCGTCACTAGCAACAGGTAGGATGGTTCTAAAAAGCGGTTGCTATTTGAAAAAACAAAACAAAACAAAACAGGTGAACGCTCTTTGCCTTGCTTCCTGCCCTATGCACAGGCGGAAGCCGAGTGTGTGGGTCTCAGTGCTAGGAAGTGAAGGGTACCTAGTCAGGCAGCCTGGGCAGAGGGGAGAGGCTCACAGAGTCAAACTGTGACCGTGGGAAGTTACCCAAGTTCTCCACACCTTACTTTCCTCATCTACAACACAACAATGACTGTAGAGCCCATCTTAAAAATTCTGTACACACTAGAGCAGGGCAGGCATGACAGACTGGACATGGGCCTTGGTTGGCACTTGCAGCAGACACTGTTTGTTTGCTCTGGGTTTTTTTCTGATAAGTTAGTTGGCTTAAGGGCTACTTGTAAGACATGGGGTATTTCAGATCAAGAAATAAAACTCGTTTTCAAGTATGGAGCCTGTGGGGAAAACGCCACATTGGCCCTAAGGACACTTCGGCTTCTGCATGTGCAAAGGAGATTCGCAAGCAAGCCAAGGTAAGAGCCTCAAGCACCCGCTCTGCCTAAGCTAGAGGGCCACTGTCTCATCTGCTATCGTGGCATGGCTACAGCTTTCTATCTCATGTGTGTGGACATGTGTATGAGCATGCGTGTAGAGGTCAGAGGTTGATGCTGAATGTATTTCTCTGGTATTTTCCACATTGTTTTTCCAGACAGTCTTTCACTGAGCCTGGAGCTTTCTGATTTGTCTAGACCGACTGGCCAGTGAGCCCTGGGACTCTACTGTCTCCAACTCCCCAGTGCTGGGATTAGATGCATGCCTCTGCACCCCATTTTTTACATAGGTGTTGGGGATCTGAACTCAGGTCCACATGTTTGCCCAGCACTCTCCTGATGGCCCCATCTCCCTGGCCCCTTGCACAGCATTGAAAACGCGCTGTGCCCAAACTCCCACTTGTGGTTCTGGCCTGGCAGGCTGGGGCTGGGACCAGGCCTTGTGTCATAAACAGGTATTTTTGGTGACTGCAATGCCAGCCAAGTCTCAGAGGATGATGAGCCTGCCAGCCTGCAGGACACCACAGTGCAGCCTGCAGGACACCACAGTGACAGCCCGTTTCTCCTCTCGCGCTCATCCTTGGGCCAACCAGGCACATCTTTCCACGGCTTTCTTGGCTGTTGGAGTTTCCAACCTCTCACCCAACCTGCACAGAAAGAGCATTTCCCCAGCCACTCCATGCCCTCTGAATACCTTCCTGGCCATTGTCACTAGGCTGGCTGTCATGACTCTTAAGGAGGAACACTTGGAGACACCGCCATAGGTACTCTAGCACAGGGCTCCATTTCCACAAACTCTACCATCATGGACGGAAAAGGCTTAAAAACAAAAACAAAGCCACTGCTTATCCTAAGCACGTCCAGATGTTTCTCCTTGTCATGATTTCCTAAGTGATTAAGTCTAACAGCCATGACAAAGCCTTTACTGTGTAGTGTAAGCATGGGAAGCTGTTCTCACATCCCAGAAGAGCTGAGTGAGTTCTCCATCAGCCCTGGACCACTTTCTACAAGAAGCCAGAGTATCTTCCAACCTTGGTCCACTGGGGTCCTGTGGCCACACCCCTGTGTTCAGTGACAGATGAGTGTGTGGGCATACATTCGCTCCTCAAGCATGGAGCTCACACACACCCTCACTCTGAGCTGAGCTGATCTCTTTAAGAGAGCTACGTTCTCGTGTTGACCCTGGGGGTCTTCTTTTTTTCCATCCCTGACTTCAAGACAGCTTATTGATGGGGCTGGGAAGAAGGCTCAGCAAGTAGAGCTGTTGTTACCAAATCTGAGAACCTGAGTTGATCTCTGGAGCCTACATGGTGGGAGGAGACAACTGAACCCTGTAAGTTCTAACCTCCACATGCACACTATGGTGAGTGAGTGAGTGTGTGTGTGTGTGCGCGTGCGTGCGTGCGTGCATGCATGAGTGTGTGTGTGTGTGTGTGTGTGTGTATAAATATTAAAAGATTTAAAAAGGTTGACAGGGCTTTACTCCAACCTTATGATTGTTTTGGGGGAGAAGTGTAGTTACCAAAACAAAACAAAACAACCCTCCCCCTAACACTTTATCAGGAGAGAAAGAAATTCTATAAGGTAGAGACCAGAGGAAATCCTGTGCAACAGGAAGTCCTTCATTGTGGGCTTCGGCCCCAGGCACGATGACAATGTCCGGGCAATCTGACTGAGCTGGAGAAAGAGTGGTGGAGTTCTGTGGATACTTGAGATGTTAAAAGTCAGCCCTCACTTCAAAAGTGCCCCCGCCCTGCCCCCAGTCCTGCGGTTCAAACCACAGCATGAAACTTTAGAGAGAAAGCGCGAAGTCTGACATACTCTGCAGACTCTCTCAGGCAGCCCAGAGAAGACTTGGCAAGGGGAACACAGTGGATGAGGGCCACACACTGGTATTTAGGGTAGCTTTGCCCACAGACACCCCAGGCTTCATAGGGTGCTCTCGGGAACAGCTTCACCCCACACAGACTCATAAGGGAACATACAAAGCTTTTTAAAAACAATCCCTCCAAGATGGAAAGCCATCCACTGAAAATACAGAGAAGCTGTCCCCTGGGAAGCACACGCCTGTGTAAGGGCTTATAAATGATTTTAATATCCCAGTGGCAAAAGCCAGCAGCCAAGGAAACAACACATGGGGGAGGGGTAGACTTAAATCCAGGCACCTGACAAGAAATTCTGAGTTCCGCCCCAGGCAGCCTGGGAAGTAGAAGAGGGGGAGGCTGTTCCCCATCCCTCTGCACCCCACAGCCCTGTCATCAGTGCCTGATTCTGATAAGCAGCCTTGTGGGACCATGCTAAGTCCTTCCATAGGCCATGCACAAAATCACAGACCCCCACACAGACCTACCAGGCCTTGGGGGCTAAGCCAGACAAACCTAAAATCCTGGGACTAAGAAGCCACCAGAACAAAATGCCTGTTCCCAAAAGGCAAAGCGATTTGCTTATCAGAGGTTTTTAAAAAGTCAAAGCAAGTGCTATAAGGACAGAAAATTGTGGGGGTGGTATTCAGGGCATCCCCAGAAAAAAGTGCTGCCCCAGGCACTCCCACCTCAGAGGCCCAGGCTTCTTTTATTGACTAGTTTATCATGGAAACAGTCAAATGAACTGAACATCAGGGGGTACGCGGACATCTGCAGCCCTCATTTATTATTTAAACCCATCTCAATCTCCTGGAGCCCCCTCTCTGCCATCACAGGGCCACCCACACAGCACTCAGAGCCCCAACCCAGGCCACGCCCCCTCTGTCTCTAGTGTCTCTCACACACAGGAAGAGGGTTTGCGTCACAACCGCATCCTACAGAAGATGATTCAACCTAGTCTGCATTTCCAGGAGGGTTACAAACCCCATGAACTCAAGGAGTTGCAGCCAGCTCCAGCTTCTCCATTCTGGAAGAGATTCCAACTGCTCCAACACATGGGAACCTGGATCAGCTCGGGCCTCACTCAAACCAGGCTCTGAGAGGTCAAGACTAGTTTAAAGTGCCTTTCAATAATGGTATGAGAACCACACATGACTCCTTACCTGCCTCCTGCCCTAACAGTTACGTTCTCCTCTCTCTCCATTCCTGTCACCCCCTTACCAGTGCAGACAAACTCCAGAGAGATAGGAACAATGCCACAGATAGAAACAACCACAGGCAGCTGAAGTGGAACACAGAGTAAAGCCTTCAAGGGCCATGTCACCTGGGACAGGCGAGGGTTTCCTCTTTCATAGCACGGATGTGCATTGAGGTCGCCCAGGAGGTGGAGACATCATTGGCTGGTGAGGTGCTCCTGTTCATTATCTCCACCCTCGTGTGAGTTCTGACACACTTGAGGCAAGACTCAGCATGAACACGGGGAAAGGAAAAGTCCTGATGAGGCCCGTTTGGGTCCATCAGATCACTAAAAATGCTCTTTCCAACCTACTGCATGTTCTTTCATTCACCCTGTTTCCAAAGAGTAACAAGTTCGCTCGCACAGCAAGATCAAAAGCAACACCTACACCCGCAAACAGGCAGGATGCCCTGAAGCACCGGGATTCAACTATCTCACTGGCACATACAACTGCAGGTGAAACTCACAGGCACCAATGCTAGCACACGAGGAAGTTCCTCAAATGATCAGACGTCATCCCGCTTCTGGGTATGAACCAAAGTCAGTTTTCAAAACTCTGGACATCGCAGAGTCCTCCCTGCCCACTCCAGCCCCTTTCCTTCCCTCGCCTCTTGCCCCATGCTCTGTGGTCCTTAAAGACCATCAATCATCCAATGAACACAGACCAACCAACTCTTAGCTACCCACAACACACCTCATGCTAGCCAATACCACACAAAGGCTTGGTGACTTGCCCTTAGGACACAGGAGTGGGCAAGGACTCTCCTCCTATTTATAGAATCACAGCTAACACAGATTTGTGCGTGACCTCAGCATCATGAAAACATCTCCATCTTCCTCTTGAAGAACAGTGGCCAAGTTTCATGTATGCTTTATCCTCCCAAAGAACTACGAAGAGTCTCCAACATCCAGGACAGAGGAAACAGCATTCACAGGGGGTGAGGACACTCAGAGACTACAAGCCACATGGCCCAAGTCATCCACCATCCTAGTGGTTGTGTTCAGAACCACAACCCTCTCCCACGTGAGAGTCGGCGCTCTCCCCAAGCAGCATGATATTAAACACCTGTGCCCTACCTCAATCAAGAAGTCCCCGGTCCTTAGTCCGGCTTGCCATGCCACCCCACCTTCATCCACGGACTCCAGGTACTGCAGGGCTGGGAATGCCGGTGTAGGTGTGAACTCCTCAATGGGGGTGTCAGCTAGGAAGACAAAGAAATACTGTGTTGTGAGTCTGGAGGATGTTTTCCAAGTTGGTCATCGTACCTGCGCATGGGACCCTGGGAGGAAGACAGTCACTGCATTCCCCTTTGAGAAGCAGTGGTCCTGGTCTACCTCTCCCCAGAGAGGGGCCCATTACTCACAGGCACACCAGCACTTATGGAAGCCACAGAGCCAGGTGCATGCCAGTACTTCATCATGCCTCTTGGCCTCTCTGCTGAAACCATGGAATAAAGTACTCTGCGGTACATGTCTACACGCCTGTCATTTTCTTTAAAAGTATCAATGACTAAACATTTTCAGTTCTAAAAATGGAAAAGTTCCTTCCTCTACCACACAGAGCTAGGGAAAGACCATACTGAAACCGCCTGCCAATTTCACAGCTAGACAGACTCGCAACCCAGGGGATTCAACTTGGAACAGGACAGAGCACAATGTTGACCCAGTGGGTGGCTGCTGACTTGGAATCTGCTCTGAAGTCTCTCCAGGGGGGACCTGGCTTTCTGTGACCATCACATGACCAGCACGCCTCTCGGCAGAACAAGGCTGGCCTTCTGGGGCCCACGGGGCTGCTGAGGGACTTTCTTGGTCCTCCTGAGAGGCCGGGGGTGGACGGGTGGGAAGGTGTGATGCCCGGGTTGGGGGAGGGGAAGGCACATCACACAGGCATGGACTTGCACCCTGGGGGTGGAGAAGGCTCTGCTCTTCTCTTTTTGGATGGATTGCCGTGGGCGGCCAGAGCCTATGACAGGTGGGCAGGCTAGCCAGGGAAGGAGGCCTCCCGCACAGGTACAACTGCCACATGGCTGACCCCCACCTGCCTCAGGCAGATGCCTCTTTTTGAGAGGGTTGATGCCATTTTTTGCTGTAGTTGGGAAGGGAAGCCCCACGCTAGGGGCGAGCACAGGGCACTGCTTTGGGCTGTGTCCCAGAGCTTCCCATTCCCAGGCCACAGGGTGTGTGTGCACTGCCAGCTTAGTCTATGGCAGAGGGGACCTGTTTTTCTCCTTGCCTTTGCAAAGTCACCTTAGAGGTGAGTATCTGGACACCTGCCACCCTTGGAGCTGAAACCCGTTCTCAGCACAGGCCAGCTTCTGGGTACCTCAAACTTGGGCTGGGCCATTCTGGGTATCTGAGACCAGGAGCTCTGAGAGCCGGCAACAACACTGTGACTGAACTGAAGCCCAAGCTGCAGGGTCTCCCCAGGACTGAGAGAAAGAGGTGGGGGGAGGGAAGGAAAGAGAGAGCAGCTCATTTGGAGCAGTACTGTAGATGGAAAATTAAAAACATGCCTGCAGGAAGCCTAGATGTTTTCTGAGGAAGGCAGAATGTTAAAGAGCATCGTTGTCTAGCAACCAAGTGCCCCCAGGAAAATGCTTGTTTCATGCTTATTTCCAAGCTGGGGAAGGTTCTCCATACAAGCATGTGTGCACACCACACACACACACACACACACACACACACACACACACACCACAGGAAGGGATCCCGGAACGCTTACCTTTTGCCCCTCGGAGCACAAATCCAAAGCCTTCGTTATCCTTCTTCTGCAGGACCACCGTCTTATCCTCAATAATGCAGTCACTGTAGAGAGAATTCCGGGGATAGCGACCATTATTGTAACCGGTCATCATCACGGTGGCTGCTCCACCGCCGGGGACGCTCATCATCACAGCCAATTAATCACCCAGCTCGGATCCAGGCAGCATGGAGGAGCCTGGGCAGCAGCTCGGTGCAGGAGGAGCTGGGGGTGGGGGGGTAGCAGGATGGGCGAGCGGGGCACAGTGGGATGTGGAGGGGGGCGGCGGGCGCGGGAGCCAGCCGGGGGAAGGAGTCATGGATGCTGGAGGGGCTGCCCAGGCCGCTGGGGAGCAGGGGGCCCAGCTCAAGGAACCTGGGGGCTGGCCAGGACACCACCGCCCAGAGCAAAGAAAGTAAGTGGCCCGGGTGGTGGTGGCGGCGGCAGAGGCAGCAGCGTGGTGAAGGAGGTCCCCAGGCCTGTCTCGGCCAGACGCATCTTCCAGGGAAGCAGAGGAAATCAGCCGGAGGAATAACCAAGAGAGCTGCTTTGCTTTGCTATTTCTTGAAGGGGCTTAAAGAGGAGATCAGGTTCTCTCCGCTTGTTCTGTGCACGAGCCAGCAGCAGGCACCGGGGACGCAGAGACCTGTGCTTTGCAGCCAGCGCCCCCTCCCTCCCTCTCCCCCGTCCTAGGGAATGTGGTGTGCAGCAGGAGCCCCCACAGTCATCTGATGAGCCCACAGTGCGACCGGCACGGCTGCCTGGGCGTCATCCCGCGCGCAGAGGATCTGCAGGCTGGGCTGGTGGCCGGCGGGAGGGGGAGCCGCCAGCTCTGTGTCTCTCCGGGGCGAAGAGGCCAAGGCTGAGGGGTGAGAGAGTGAGGAGCTCAGGCCATTTCAGTCCCATCAGAGCCAAGAAGGGCAGCAGCTCCCTCCTGAGGAAGATGCCTTGCTGAGGACAGAAAGGCCAGCCGTGTCCCCACTGCAAGGACCGAAAACCACAGGGCTCACCTCTTTGTATAGCATTTCCAATTTTAAAGGAAACAGACTAAAAAGCCCCAACTTTGCTGTTCCGGCCAAAGCCGCCTATCACCAGCACTAATAGAACTCCGTCCACCTAGAGGTGCATGCAGGGCACACAGGACAGGAAGATGCTGCCTAATGGCTCGAGAGCCACCAACTGTGGCCCTCACTGGCCTTTTTGGTGGCCGCTGAAGGGCAGGAGACAGGGCTGTCTGCATCTCAGACTCAGCCATTGCCCCCGCCCCCCGGAAGTAAGTCAGAAGGCAGGAAGTCTGGGGGTTGGGACCTGGAGGAGGGAGAGGGCTTTCTTCCCCAGAGCCCCAGTGGGAGGTGTGAGGACATAGGATGTGGTGGCCAGAAACCCCAAGAGAAGGAGTGGCAGAGCCCCGAGGCACAGATGAGGGAGAGGGTGACGAGCAAGGCTGGGCTCTGAGTCCCACCGCGGCGACTGTCAGTTCTCTTTGGCTTGTGGTCTACAGAAAGCACAGAACCCAGAGTCTGGCCTGCAGATAGCAGCCAACTCGGACAGGGGCACCCTGGCGCTGGAGGAGCAGGGCAGCCCCTTCTAACCGGCCTAGCAGGCCAGTCCAACCTTTTGTCATCGTGACACTATGTTGACATTTCCAGTTACAAAGTAAGAACCACGCAGTAAAGCTGCAAGGAAAAAAAAATACGGCAAAAGAACCTTTACAACGTTTGAGTAAGTTTGTAATTTTGGGTCGGCCCTATTAAAGCCGCCTTGGGTACGTGTGGCCAGTGGTTAGAACATGTGCCCGGTTAGACACACTGGGTAGCAGGTAAGGAGAGAGCAGTGGCTTTTCAAGGTTCCCATTGGGCAGGTGAGACCGATGATGTTGGGGACGCAGGAGTTACCCATGACAGGGTCATGCTGAGTAATGCCCCAGGGTGGGGGGCGCTCTGTGTTCTGGGCTTTGGCTATGGGGAAGGCAACAAGGGCTGGGCAGTGACTCAGGCTGGATGGTGACACAATGGTCTAGGTGGGATGACTAGTTACAGATGGCTGAGAAGGTGGCTGAGAAGCTAACCTCAAACCTCGCTCTGTCTGCTGAGACATCCCGCCAGCCTGCTGGATCCTGGGCACGGGTGTGTGAGACTCCTTTTACTCAGTTCTCAGAGGCCCCCTGCACCATCAGGTCCCACCAGGGTGATGAGAGCCCATGGGCGGGCAAGTCATGGGCTGGCCTGCAGGAAGCAACAGGCCCTTCGGTCCTCTGCTTCCCCTATCAGCAGGCTGTGAGGACAGCCCACAATCACTTGGGGCTGCTGTGGTTGGATGCCGCAGTACCCATGATAGTGTGGGTTAGTGACAAGGCCCCAGGGAACCCCTTTCAAGTATGGTCAGTAACTGGAGAGGGCCTGGCTGCTAGCCAGTTCCTGCCATCCCCTGACTGGTTGGGAGGAGAGCTGGGGTGGGGCGGGACTTGTTGCTGCGGATTCAGGGACCTTACAAGACACAGGCAAAGCGAGCTTGTGCTAGACCCTTCCATTTCCACAGTTTTGTGCCCGCCCTCGGTACCGGGATATAGACGCAGGTCTCTTACTGGAGACCCTTTTTGACTATATACCCTTTCTCCTCCAACTTGCCAAAGGGAAGCCACCTGCTTGGCTCTGGGGCTCCCTCAGTGGCCAGACAGTAGAAACCCTGTGGCCCCCTTAGGAGCCTTCTTAGTCACAGGGGTCCCTCTGAGACTTTGCTGTCCAGCACAACCCCTTTCTCTTCAGGTGCTTTAGCATCTGGGTGCTGGGTGCCCTGACTTGAGGGTCTCAGACACAATATCTGCACATATCCCTGAACACAGGTGACCAACAGCACTGGCTTTGGCCTGGCTCAGGGCAGAAGCCATGGTGGGCTCCCAGAACGCAGCCAGCAGAACCTGAGTGCACCCAGACACTTCCACACACCACAGTCACAGGGTCCTCCTCAGGCCAACGGTACTGACTGGACACGGGCTGTCTCTTCCTGACTGCTTGTGGGGGCAGGGGTGCCACTGAGCCTGGTTCAAAGCGAAGTGTGACGCTGAGCCCAAGGTCACCCTGACCTTTTAAGCCTCAGATCTTGCTCTACCGAATGAGAATCACAACCACGGTACGATCATGGAGGGGGGCAGAAGGAGGGTGCTGCATAGCCCCTGAGACCCTGCACTCTCAGGGCGGCCCCTGGTGGGCGGTCAGCTGTAACACACAGGGATTGTTTTCAGTTTTAAAGGCCACGGTTAGAGGCATCAGCAGTATTACTGACCTTCTTCTGCAAGCCCAGGCCACAGCCTTCTCCCAGATTCTGATCTTTTAAGACCTTCCCAGCTGCTTCCTGCTGTGGCAGCCCTGTGTGTCCTCCCCTCAGCCTCCCATTCTTGGAAGATGGCTTCCAGTTCCTTCTCTCTGTGATGTTTCTCAGGAGTTAAGCCCCACCACATGCCCACCACCCTTACCCATCAACAGACCTTGGGCCTAAACCCTAAATCCAGACATCCACCACCTGAAGAGAGTGGGTTAAGACTTAGAAGCGGACGGTGAGTTTCTACCGACAGACACATGGCTGTGGGCAGAGCCAGTGCTGGGGATCCTGCCCTCAAGTTTGCATGTACCCACCCTCTTTTTCTATGACCCAGGAGCAAATGCTCCCTTCTCCCCAGGGGCTCAGTCTCCCGAGAGACAGTGAGCTGTTGTTGCAGATCCCCCCAAATGCTCAGGGGCTGGCAGAACCCGAGGTAGGGGTGCAACACATGGCAGAGGGGAGCTGGGTGGGAGATGCTGGGGATGAGTGCAGAGGGAAGGGCCAGCCTGGGCTCTGTCTCAGCAGCCCCTTCCTCCTGATGAACAGTACCCTGATCCTGGGTGAGCATGACTCAGTCTCGCTGGCTGCCCCTGGCACTTTCCCAGAAGCAGAGCTGATGCTGCCTAAGGCCCTGGCAGCCCCTGCCCACTTGGCTGCCCCAGCATATCTACCCTCCAGATTCGACCCAAAGACCACTGCCCACATTTCACCAGGACATATCAGAAGCTCCCATATCCTGCACACTGCTTCTGGGTGACCCCACTCAGGCTTCTGCTGGAGCCCTGTTCCCTCACCCATCCCTAACCAGGTGTATAAAGCATTCACTGTGGGTATTCCAGGAAACAAAGCTCCCTACTTTAAAAAAATCCCAGTGTTTGTTGACTGGACACAAATACAAGCCATCAGCATGTTCTCCAGATTTGTTTTCTGCACAGAGTACCCCAAATGTACCCTCCTGTGTTGACATCTACCCGCAGCAGGCAGGTATGGGGCAAGAGTAGTCAGAGAACACCGCCCACAGTTCATGTATGTGGTCATGTATGCATTTATGGCCATGTGGACATATGGCAGAACCTTGAGGAGGGGCCAGGTTCCTTTCCCAGTTCACATAAAGGTAGGGCCGGGTCCATCGATTGCCATGGAGCATGAAAGAGCCATTTCTACAGGAAACACATTGACCTCTAGGAACCCCATGCAGAAGGCAGCCGTGTTTGCTCCCATCCCCCTGACACCCCCCCCCCCCCGTGTCAACTGACCAAGTCCAGGTGGAGTGCTGTGGGGACCTGAGGTCTGCCACAGAGTGGACTGAAGGACCTCACCCACCATGGCATGCCTGAAGGGGTTTGTGGTGTCCACCTTGTCGGATCCTAAGTGGCCAAGCCACAGAGGCATTTATTTATCTTTCAGTTTTTGAAGGCAAGGCTTCACTTCGTAGCCCAGGCTGGCCTTTGCACTCTTGGTGATCCCCCATGTCAGCCTCCCGAGTTGCTGGGGTTACAGATGTGAGCCGTCACACCTGGTGTCACACTTTTCCTGCTGCTGTGCCATCACACCTGACAGGAACAGCTTAAGCAGGGAAGAAGGGTTCACTCGGCGCACGGTTCAAGGGTGCCGTCCATCGTGACAGGAAAAGCATGGAGTCAGGAGCGTGAGGCAGCCGGTCACATTGCACCCACAGTATGGAAGCAGAGACAGATGAATGCGGGTGCTCAGCTTACTTCCTCCTTTTTACTTAATCTGGGACTCC